CTCATTTGAATGTCTGTGGATCTCATGGAAGAATCCATGTGTTATATTGGACTGCATAGAATGTGCTCAGTGACATCTGCAAATAGGAGCATCTGGAGGGTCTCATCAATATGAAATCTCTCTTCCATTTGGCTTTATAAAAGACATCCTTGAAGGAACTGGTAAACATTTTTGGTTTTTTTTGCAAGCATTCATTTTCTCTTCTTTATTTCTAACTTGTTATTGATAATCAGATGTTGATAAAGCAAAGTTGTTTCTGTAGGTACATCTGTTGAAGAATTTTATATTGAGAGACACCTTGTTGGAGGAAAGATTTTAAGACTGAATTTTGTGCAAATGAGAGACTTTTTTTTTTTTGTAATCAACAAACAGTCCACAACAGGATTTATAGTCTTTATACTTTTCAGTCAATTATGTAACTATGAAGATGTATTCTACTGTAGAAAACATTGTGTGAAAATTCACCTGTTCTCTTTTCCTATTTCCACTGAGGAGTCCTTCAATCTATGTGAGAGGCTTTGACATGCCCAGTATCGTAGAGCTAGTGTATCTCAGAGGCAGGATTTGACCCAACTCTTCCTCTTCCTGAGGTGAACTTGTTTTCTTTCCATGTTGCCTTTTAAGGCTTATCCTTGCACACTTTTATATCATTTCTGGGAAATGATTGTATAGTGTTGCCTCAAAGACCCTTTAGTAAGGGGAAACTCACTGCCTCCTAAAAGACTATTCCATCTTTGATTAGGAATCATTAGGATTCACTGATCAAACTGAAATCAGATTCTCTGCAGCTTCCACTCAGAGGGACTAAGAGAAATAAAACAAAATTAAACAAATCACTTCTCAGACCTCTTCTCCTTGACAACCATTCACACACTTGAGAACAGCTATTATATCTGCTCTAAGTCGTTTATCCTGCTGGTTAAAAATCCTCCTTTATTTCAACTTACCCCCTATGGCATGATCTGTAGATAATTTATCCACCCCGATTGTCCTTCTAATGTGTTGATTTTAACTATTACAGTTACTAGTAAATGGTGTGACTGCACCTGGAGAAGTGTTATAATTCCCATCTTGGTAACTAGAGATATAATAAATTTCTGTTGCAATGTTTTCTAATGATTGGCAGCTTCTTTCTTCCTGTTTCTTTTCTTGAATAAATTATTCCCCATATACAGATATGAGGTTTCTTCATAGTCTATAAGACCTTTACCTTCACTTTAAGACATTTCTTAATCCTGAATCACATATTTTTGTCCTTTCTTTTGCCCACCTTCTTACTGAATTCCCTGTATTTGCACAGATATATTGATATAGTGCCAATTATTCACAGATAAACCCTATTTTATCTTCTGTAACAGATATTGGTGAGTAAGTTGCAATTACCTTTGCAATGATCTTTTGGCTTAAATTCCCTATGAGAATTTCAAGGTATGATGACCATGTATCCCATGAAATGGCACTTCTTGTCTTATAACAGAGTTAAAGAAACTTTCATTTGTGTCTGCAAGGTGAACCTATAAGGCCTCCACTCATTTTGCTGAACCTGCCTTTTGTGTTCTGATTTCATCTATATCAAGAAATTGCTAATATTAGAATGACTTCTTTCTTCTTGGTGTATATCAATTTATTTTTCATTACACAGGGATCTCACATCTAGAATATCATTAAAATTTTCATTGATCATCTAAAAACTATTATCCTTAGTGTATTTTGCTCTCTTTTCCACCCTCATGATGCCTTTGCTGATAGAGGGAAAGGGGACTGACCACATATAGGAATGAAAACCATTTTGTATTTTTTTTCATGAAAAATATTTAAAAGTAGTTTCTAGTAATAATGAGTTATTTCAATTTGTCACATAGAAATTTTGAAGCAAGTCCTGCAAAGTAAACAATTTAATGGAAATATTTAACTTCTTAATTATAAATAATTATCTTTGAATACATCACACATTGAGCAATATTAGCTTTGAATCCCTTCTTGCTTTTCAGGTTTCACTTTTCTAGGTTCTCATTTTCATTCCTAGGCAACAATCCAAGAAATAAAGGCAGTTAAGCAGAACTACTTAATTTTACTTGAAGTAAAAATTCAATTGCAATTCCATGAATCAGCTCTTCTAATATCAGTACTCTGAATGGAAGAATTTCATGTTGTAGAATTAATAATGTACACCTCCACATGCAAGAAGAGAAAAGAGAAAATCAAGGTCTATCTAAAGGTGTATAATTATCATTGTTATCAGCCTTTACTTTCATTTTCTTTCTCACAATTAAAATGAAAAACACACTTCATTCTTAAACTCTCTAGTCATCATTTCAAAGATTGGCATGATCAAAATCCATTTTGCAAAGGCCCAAAAGGAAATAGAAGTACTTTGAGGCATCTGGAGAGAGAGAAAGGACACCTATAATTTTCATTGCACTCCTCATCTCTGCCTTCTGGCTTTCCTGATTTCTTTAAAGTGTCACCTAAAATTTCATTTTTTAAAGGAATTTTGTTTTTTCCCAATCCTCTTTAATTAACATACCTTTGTTGATTATTTCTAATTGTCCTGTATCTAGCTTCTTTGTACATAGTTATTTGTATTTTTTCTCCCCCATTAGACTGGGAACTTCTTGATTGCAAGGACTATTTTTCACCTTTCTTTGTATCCTTATTACTTTGCATAGTGATCAGAGTATATTAGGCATTTAATAAATAGTTATTGACTGACTGGCTCAAAAATTATCTTGTTCCTGGCTCAGAAACCTATAATGATTGTATTATGTTGGCCCTGCCTACCCATGAATAATTTATATTTAAATCTGATTTTATTTTTATCTAGTGGAAACTATCTCTTGGGTGGAGGGAGGTAAGAAAAAAAGGAAAATAAATTTACAAGATAACTTTATTATATATTTAAAAGAAATAGCAAGTTATACATTATAAATTTGCAGTTTCATTTACTATCATCTTTTTGTTATAAATGCTTGTTTTATTCCATAAATTTAAATTTAAATTAAAAAAAATCCATAGGGCGAGCCTAGTTTAGTCTGTAAATACCTTGGTAGTGGTATGAAAGTAGTACAAAATCTTCCCTCTGGAAATACATGGCTCTAGTACCATATTATGTGGTAACTTTGCTTGCTATGTGTGTTGGTCCCTGGTCTGTACTCTCTTGGGCAACTCCTGTTGCAAATAATATGTTCTGGGCAGGTAGGTGGTACAGTGGATAGAGCACTGGCCCTGGATTCAGGAGGACCTGAGTTCAAATATGGCCCCAGACACATAACACTTACTAGCTGTGTGATCCTGGGCAAGTCACTTAACCCCATTGCCTAGCCCAAAAAAAAAAAAGGAAAAAAGAAAAAAAAAGAAAATAATGTGTTCCTTTAAAATATATTGACAAATGTAGCATGTTATCAGCATTGACTTTAGTGGGAAAAGTGTCAGAAATATAACTGGGGAAATGTATAACCAGAAAGGGAGGGGGATTAATCACTTAGTGAGAAAAAGAGAGAAGAGATGGCAACTTCAGTGGTTACATTAACATCCTTAAAATACCAAAGAACAAGAGGAAAGTCTGCAGCACCTGAAATAATTTTGGAATATTATGGAGGGGCAGGGTAGTATGGTGGTTCAGACAGCTGGACTTCAAGTCAGAAACACCTGGGTTCATATCCTATTTCTAATGCTGTTGATCATGTATGTGCCCTTTAACTTCCAAACTTGAGGTGCTAGGACTATCAATTAAGTTAAAAAGAAAAAAGGTCTAAATCTGTAACAATGGAGAAAGCATGTAACCTAATATGCATTGGATAAAATATCTATAAAAATATGTATTCGGTTAAAAAATAGACAAGTAACAGAGACAAGAGAAAACAAGCAGCTATTGAAATGTGCATTGGTAGTGCAGGGCATCCCTACACTAATGAAACCACAGACCATTCCAAGAATCAAAGAGCTATACTAGCAAATAAGGCATGGATGCTTATTCCCTTTTCATAACTCCATACCAAAGAATTCCTGCTTTTTTCCCTTGCCTGAGATAAATTCTACTACTCTTGGCTTCTCAGAATTCTCTTTTTGTTTTTTAATCCTGTAAGTCTCAACTCAAATTTTACCTCCTCTGTGATATTTTTACAAATCTCCAATCTATTTGTCTTCTACAACTCACAGTTGAGGTTTTATGTGCAACGTTATATTGTCACTAGCTATTTCTGTGCACAAATCTATTTTCTCTCATAAAACTTGTAAACTATGGGAAATAGTTGACCACAAAACACTAAGAACAGTGTTGGAAATATGTGTTTCTGCCCACTGCCTGAGGGGTTGGAGATCCCCATGCACCAGGGATTAGCCAGTGATTAACAGACTCAGAAAGGCTTGTGGTCCAAATAGATGAGTGGGAATTACTCTTGAGGTCAAACACCAGAAATTCACAGAAGTGTAGATCCAGGGACCACACAGAAGAAGGCTATGATCTGCTTCCAGGAACAAGAGGTCCAAAAATGGAGGGTGGAGTGGTTGGGGAAATGGACCCAGACCAGTCAAAAAGCTATCTTAGAATGGGAAGTATGAGGCATAGGATATAGAGGATCTGCCTCAGGCAAGAATGAGCCAGATACTTTCTATAAGCCCTCCTCATTCAAAGAATGGCAAAGAAAGAGTAGAATCCAACAGTAGCAGTCTAATAAATACTTTTAAACTATTGTACTGTTGTAAATTATGCATTCCTCATTAATGTAAGAACTCCATTAACTGAAAAAAATTCCATTTATATAAACTTTTTTTCTCAAAAAACATCATGCCATGTAAATCAGAAAGTAAATATTTTAAAATATGACTTTAAGAAAGCCAAATCTAAAGAAACTAGAATAATCTTTTCTTTTTAAACATTTGAATATGTATTTTTCAAATACTTTGGATTTTAAAAAATTTAACCTACTTATTCATAGAGATACTTTGATTCTATTATGTAAATTATGAAACTTAATGAATACTTTTAAATTTCTTTGTAGATATTTCATTGACCACAGTGCTGAGGATGATAGGTTTTTCAACATTGATGCTAACACTGGAACCATTAAGACTGCAAAAGTCCTTGACAGAGAGGAAACACCATGGTACAATATCACAGTCGTTGCTTCAGAAAAGGGTAAATAGTTTCTGCGTCAAAATAACCCAAAACATTCATGCTATATGTCAACATCCATTCTTCTGTCTGCTGTTTGCATGATCATTTCCCACAATTCCCAACTCCCACCCCTGGTCCCAGAACACTACCTTAGTCCCCAAATTAGACTGACCTAACAAAAAACCCAGTGCTTAGTTGGCGAACAGAAGATTCTGTACTTCTCACAAACGTGGATACTGTCCTGGAGCATGGTGCAACATGACCTGTGCTTACCTCATTGTCCATGGAGCCCTAAAAGAAAACAAGGCCTAGAGTAGTACAAAGCCAGCAATTACATCTGCTTGACCATTCAGCAGGCCAGGTAACAGCTCTTTACTTAGGTTTTTCCAATAGGATAATTCTATATAGCCTTAAGACAGTTCCTTTTCTGGCAGCTAGGTGGCGCAGTGGATAGAGCATTGGCATTGGAGTCAGGAGGACCTGAGTTAAAATGTGAACTCAGACTCATAACACTTACTAGCTATGTGACACTGGGCAGGTCACTTAACCCCAACTGCCTCACCAAAAAAAAAAAAAAAAAAGAAAAGAAAGAAAAAAGACAGTCTATTTTCCTGATTCTCTGACTCAGAGACCATACAGTGAAATCGTGACTGTTAGTGCCTTATTGATCGTATATTAACCTAAGGGATCACATATTAACCTAAGAAATAATGGGATGAAAAAACTAAGGGAGACATTCTCTCCATTTAGGGAGCATGCTGAAAATCCTCTTCCATGCTCAAAGTCAAACTAGATACCAAGAATTGTCTCAAAATGTATTTAAGATTAACGACAAATAATTAATTACAGGATGAACAGGAATGTAGTAGATAATAGAATTTAGAACTAGAAAGTACCTTGGAAATCATTCCCTCCAACTCCTCATTTCATAGAGGATGGAAAAAATGCTAAAAAATTACTAAAACAAAATGGGTCCTTGAGATGATTCTGTGAAGTAATTTATGGCAAAAAAAAAAAGGATAGGAAGAAATAATTTACACAAAAGTGAGGGAGTACAAATTGTTCATCATTTCCAAGTACATGAGAACATCAACACTTCTCTTCACCTTAAGAAAGTTTAGATTAATTCTTGAATGATACAGTAAATCTACAGGTCATTAAAAGAAAATTAAGGAATTTCCATTGTAGAGAATAGTAACATGGATGGTTACTGCCATAAACTCCCTTGATGTTTCTATTAGATACAGAGCACAGGGCCGAGAAAGTGATTTTTTCTGACTAAATATTCATTTCTTATATTCTAAAGCATGTGATTATGTAGCATCAACTCTAGCTATGTTTAATATGAACATTTGAATCTACTATTTTTTTAACAGGCCCCATTTTTTTTCTTTTTAATTACTAATTACCAGTGATCAATGTATGTGATCATACAGTCAATCCAATCTTTCAAGTTATCAGAATAACTGAAGAGTATACATCATTCTAGGTACTGAGCCATAAATAGGAATCTTGTTTAGGGTGAGGCAGAAAGGGAATACAGCAAATCCAACCTAAATTTCCTTTTAAGAGTTTTGGGATATGGGTTCAACTGATAGCTGAGGGGAGAGAGAGCTTCCAGAATGAAGCTGAAACATGCTAGGATTATCTAATGAGAAACTTTGGGATCTACTTTTTTGACTCATCTAACATCTAACTCCCATTGTGTGAATTAACACCAAATTGTTTCCTGTTTCTTTCCTTGGAACAAACAATAATTGTGATTGGAAAATATTTGCTTTATCAAGAACTTAATTTATACATATATACATACACACATACATATACATATATACACATATATATGTTGTATACATATGCATATAGACACATATATCCATACACATACCGCAATATAAAATAGTGCATAAACTTATTACCTATTGGAATGTGTATACTTCAGACAGAAGGATAAAAGTAAAAATATATGGGCAAATATCTTGGCAAATATACTTACAAGGGCAGATAATTGACTTATTTTTATGCAATGCCTATTTGGGGAATTGAGCTAATGTATTTCTACCAAGTAAAATTGTGTAGTAAATAGTAAAATCTTGTTTTTTCATGGGCTATAATAAAAAAAAAACTCAGATATTTCCACCTCAGGTGGTTTACAGTATATATGAATAATATCATTTCACTGTAACATGCACTAAAACATAATTTAGTCCTGATCACAAACAGGTGCAGAAAAAGAATGATCATTAACTAAGATTTTAAAGCCACATTGGTAGAATATATAGAGAAATACACATAAGAAGGAAATATGTCTTCAGGGTACTGAGGGAAGTCTTCTAGTTGTAATTGTTTTGAAACAACTGAACATCAATAATATTAATCATCAATGTGGGTTTTCTAAATATTATCTGAAATTTTCTCTCTTAGCAATGCAGTTGATAGCTTTTCCCATTAGAACTGTGTTTATTTTCATTATTGTAAACTTTAATGAAAATCTATTTGGACCATGGCATTTCATTAAAGTCTTAGTGCCTGCTGGCAGCATCCAAGTTAACTTAATGGCTGCTTCAGTCTATTCTATGTGGTACAGTTTTTGATTAATTGTGTGACCATTTCATTGGTCAGACTTAGAACTGTAATGATCAAAAAATACCCTATAGTGTCACAGTGTGTGTGTGTGTGTGTGTGTGTGTGTGTGTGTGTGTGTGTTCATGCTTCTTGGGTGTGGACTAACTGTGTATATTGGAAGAAAATGCTAGGAAGGGGTGAAGTAGGAGGGCAAAGGGATTTAAATCTAAACACTTTCTGTCCCTACCTGTTAAATATGTGGTAAAAAGTAAAACAATCTTTCTTCAACTTAAGGACCATCAAACAATATGGACTTACCTGAACTGACAGCTAGCATTTCTGGGCCTGGAATTATTCAATCACTTTAGTGTCTAGCCCAATACCTCTGTGCATATTAGGTACTGAATAAATATTTGCTGAAATGGCTGAGTTTCAGTAATGGCTTCATCCCTCTATGTTTCATCCCTCTGTGCTTGCTCACCCACTTCACTGATTACAATTTCTCTCACCACCCCCATCTAAATGCCTTTATTTTTGCAGTCAGCTTCCTAACCTGAATTCCAATACATCCCGCATTTGACATGCTTTTTTCTAAAAGGGTAGGGAGAGGGTAGGGAACAAGGGACTCCCCAAGGTCTTGGTTCTTTCATACAGATGAGTCTAAAATGAGTTTATTTCACTGGAGAAATGTAATTAAAGGGACATAAATTGTGTGTCAGGTGCTTTGATTGAAAAAGTTACCTCTGTTCTCCATGTTATTTTATGTGATGCAACAAGAACAAAAGTTTGAAGTTTTCCTGAAATTGTTCCCTGTTGCCCTGTAATCAGAAAATTAGATTTTTGGTAGCACCTGCACATAACAAAGCAAATATCCATTTGCACAGAGTGGGTAGCTTTAAGTCCCTCCAGTGGCTAGGAATTAGTTTTGTTATTGTTAGTGAGCTTATTTTGATTCATTTAATTGGACTTCCAGAAAGTATGTTTGTATTCCTGATTTTTCTTTAGTTTGTGGGGGGACTTCAACAGGTGTATTAAAATTCTATGGTTTATTTTTTTATAGCAAGTTCATCCAGAAGATGTTGATTGTTCCAAATACTGCTAATAAATAATGCGATGACTTTTTTTTCTGTGAACAATGCAATCATTGCTAAGTATGACTGTTCCCATAATCAAAAAGTCTTAATCCAAATTCCAATCATCAAGTGTTAGATTTGAAAAGGAATTTAGGATCATGTAATGTAGTCCTCTCATTGCGTAGATGAGGAAGTTGAGTTCTAGAGAAGATAAGGAACCTATCTAATATCATACAGCTATTGAGCCAGGACTAGAGCTCAAATTTTGTGAACCCTAGTCCTGTGCACTTCTTTTATTCCATGCTGTTTACATGCTATTTCTCCTGGTGAATTTTACATTTGTGTCAAATGCTGGGTCTTACGGTATGATGTATCTTAATAAAGACCAAAGATTTGAGGAAATATAACTAGTTCTACTTTTTATAATTAGCATTACTTTTTCATATGCTGTGAGCTCATGTACAAGCTGATGAAAGAGAAATGAAACTACTTAGCTAAAGTCATACAGCTTACAAATGGTAGAGACGGCACTTGAATTCAGATTTCCTGGCTCCTAGACAAATCACCTTTCCTTATTTTAGTAAAAAAGATCCGATGTTGAAAATAAACTTGAAGAGTTCATACATAAACTATAACATACTATTGCAAAGATTTATAATTCTGCTTCACTGAGTTTTTATTTCTTTTTTTTGCATCATTCCATATTTTTTCCTAGATCTTGGTGTTTTCATGATCAGCTGTCTTATACATTAAACTCACAGCAGTTTAAGACATATTGATAGATTTCTAAGTTTAGATTTATACATAAAAAAGTCAGCCATATCCTTAACACATTTTTATTAATGTCAATAAATTGTGATAACACAAAAATACAGAGGCTAAGCAGTAGGATTGTTTTCCAAAACATTGAGGAGAATAGAAGACATAGAAACCCTCAGTCCAAGTCTGGAAATAGAAATTAAAACAGTCAGAAACAAATTACAAAATTTATTAAACAACAGGATGAGGATTTTCCCCTAGAAGGCTTCTAAAAATATAGTTATGTGATTAAATTTTTCACTGAGAAAGGGAAAGATTATGCAGGATCATGATCCCTTCTATTAGAAGTGCTTCAGGTAGTATCAAAAAGGATTTAAAGGAAATAAGTTCAAAAAAGAAGATAGTATCAGATGGCAGACATGACTTCTAAAGCATCTGCAGTGAATGAAATTGCAAGTTTCACAGCTATTTGGAATGAATAGGTTACAAGGACATATGAATGCAAAAAAAAATTAAAACTTTAGAAAACACCCTCAGTTCCATTGGGAAATGATTCACTCAGATATAATGTATGTCAAATATTATACTATTAGAGAGGAAGGCAGGAAAGAATATGTTTTGCAT